TTCTGTGATTTCACTGTGAACCAACAAGGGAAAAACCCAGCCTCGCAGCCCTGTTAGCACCAGGGGTTGGAGAACAGGCCCTGGGGACTTGTGCAGTTTTAGACCTGCAGAGTCTTGTTTTCCCTCTTGTTTCTGGAGTAGCTCAGGTCTGGCCACCCTGGGGGCTTGTGGCAAAGAGCAAGGGAGAGAGCTGCAGCAGCAGAGTGGGGTCGAGGGGGCGGGGGGGGGATCCATCAGCTGCACTTGGACCTCTACTTGGACCTCTTTGGTTTGGTTGGTGCCTGTTTGACTCAAAGGACTGAGGAGCAGGTGGGAGGAAGGAACCAGAGCTCTGCCTCTTGGCTGAAGCATGAGAAGTCGCAACCCACCTGCCCCCCACTCGCAGCTTCCTTGGCAGAGCCAGGGCTGGGCAGATGCAGCGTTCCAGGTGCCTCGAACAAGGAAAACGAACAGCAAACCCCCCTGATAAACCAGAGTGGGAGCAAAAGGACCCATGGGCAGCATCCTGGCCAGGCCATATCCCAGAGCAGGTACCCAGTAGAGGAGCACCTCTGCCAGTTGCTTAACAGATCCAGGCCCGGCTGCAGCCCCCCATGGAGCCAGGGCATAGTTTCATAGTAGGTTGGGTCGGAAGGGACCTGAGCAGATCTTCAAGTCCGACCCCCCTGCCATGGGCAGGAAAGAGTACTGGGGTCAAACGACCCTGGCTAGGCGTCTATCTAGCCTCCTTTTGAAGACCCCCAGGGTAGGGGTGAGCACCACTTCCCTTGGAAGTTGGTCCCAGATCCTAGCTGCCCTGACAGTGAAGTAGCACCTCCTAATATCTAGCCTGAATCTACTCTCAGTCAACTTATGGCTGTTATTCCTCGTTACTCCCAGTAGTGCTCGTGGGAACAGGGACTCTCCCATTGCCTGCTGGTCCCCCTGGTCAGTTTATAGGCACCCACCAGGTCCCCCCTCAGCCTTCCCTTGTGGAGGCTGAACGGGTTCAGGTCCCGTCGCCTCTCCTCGTAGGGCCTGTCCTGCTGCCCCTGATCATGCGAGTGGCCTCCTCTGGACCCTCTCCATGTTATCCACATCCCTCCTGAAGTGCGGCGCCCAGAACTGGACTCAGTACTCCATCTGCGGCCTGACTAGTGTCACATACAGGGGGAGGATCACCTCCTTGGACCTGCTTGAGACGTATCTGTGGATGCGCGACAAGGTGCGGTTGGCCTTCCTGACTGCATTCCCACATTAGCGGCCCATGTTCATTTTGGAATCAATAGTGACTCCAAGATCCTTTTCTGCCTCTGCGCTGTCAAGAAGGGAGTTCCCCAGCCTGTAGGTATGCTGCAGGAATTGGGGCAATGTGGGCCTGTGACCCAGAAAATGGTAGTTCTTGTGTTCTTATGACTGCCATGCTCTTGCTCTCTTTCAGTCCATCGTCAGACCTCTCACCACATCCACCACCCGCTTTCCACCCACCTGCCTCCTGCCCTCAAGTTCCCGAAGCGGCACCCCCGTGCCAGCCGGAGGAAGAGGAGGAAACGAAAGAAGAAGAAGACCTCGGTGCCCCCCTCGGAGGTCACCCCCACCATCCAGGAGGTGGATGAGGAGGGCACGGAGGCAGGGGAGGAGGAGGAAGATGAGGAGGAGGACGGTGAATCAGAGGCCGAGGAGGCCCTGGAGAAGGTGGCCTCCCCGGAGTTGGAGACAGAGGCCCCAGGGAAGGAGGCATCTCCCAGGCTGGGGTCCTCTGGCAAGCCAAAGGCAAGGCTGTAGGGGGGCTGGTAGGCTCCCGCAGACTGTTGCCCCAGCTGGTCTAGGGGCAGGGGTATGTTCCCCACAGCAGGGCAGGTGGGAAGTGGTGAGCTTGAGCCTGGTAGCTGCCCTCAAGGCAAAGCTGGTCCGAGCTCCCAGGGTCTCCTTTCCACAGTTTACCATCGGGAGTGACGAGGATGACGCCTGCAGTGCCACGGCCATGACGTGGTTCCACATGGATGAGGAGTGCGGTGTCCTGTCCCCTGGGCTGCGCCTCACCCACCTGCTTCAGGACCGGAGCCCAGCCTCGCTCCACAGGTGAGCGGCATGGCCTGGGCAGGCTCCATTGCTGCCTGGTGCACACACCAACACGGTGGGCTCCCTGCCTTCTGCATCCCCTTCACTGTCGTCCCACAGGCTGATGGGGCTGGGGTACATGATCAGAGGCAATGCTGGAAGCCATATACCCTGCCCAGGCACCAGCTGGTCTCCAGGTTGGGGCTCTAGGGCCATTGCTGGGCACCATGGTGAGGGGTGGAGCTGTCTGTTTTCCCCTCCTGTTCTCTTGTGCCTGGCTCCTGACCTGTGGGCAGGGCTGCAGTGCTAGGGCTTGCACACCAGGCCTGGGCCCACTGTGAGTCTGGTGGCTGTGAAGCCTCTTTCACCACTGGGAAGGGAGCAGGTCTCCTGGCAGGGGCAGGGGACATTCCTGGCTGTTGGGTATTCCTGGAGAAAGACCTTGGTGTGCCCAGGGCCATGCATGGTTCTGCCAGGCCTGGGCCCAAAGACCTCCACCCTTAGTGGAGTTTGGAGGGCCTGCAAAGCAGCTGGGTTGGGAGTGCCTCCCCCTTCCACCCCATGCTGCTAGCCGCTGCCAGGCACCTGCTTGTCTCTGCAGCCTCCCGGGGCCCAGGGAGCGCCTGTCACGGGGCTGGGACAAGCGGAAGCCCTGGAGCCAGGTGATGAGTGGGCAGCGCGTGAGCTATGACCTGAAGGAGCGGATGTGCATCGGCAGCATGACCACACTGGACAGTGCGGCCTATCAGCGTGTGCCCACCGATGAGGCTGAGGCCCAGATGCTGGCATCCGCCGACTTGGACGGCATGAAAAGTGAGCCCTGCAGCATGGTGCAGTGCTGCCCTGCCTGCGCCTGAGCCCCTGCCCCAGCGAGTCAGACCTGTGGGCCACACCTTCCCCCACCAGCGCCAGGCCTGAGGCTGCCCCTTCTCTCTCCACACCTCTCATGGTGCCCTGCAAACCCCACCCACCACCCCTTCTGTCCCCAGACCCAGGCTTTCTGCCCAGTGCCGTGCCCCTCTCTCCAGACCTGCAGCCACTGTTGTCCCAGCTGTGAGCTCACCACACTCATTGCCCTTCTGTCTCAGTGCTTCTCATACCCAGCCCCCTCGACCCCAACCCATGGCCCCTGCTTTCTCAGCTCCAGGTTCTGCACTGCTCCATCCAGTCCTGCAGCCCCTGCTTTCCCAGTCCTAGGCTCCCTGTCCTCTGCTCCCAAGCCACTCTGAAGCTCTGAACCTTCCTGCCTGCCCCAGCCCCTCAGCTCTAGGCATTTCCTCAGCTGCCCCATCACCCTGTTGTTTTCAGGTCTCCCTGCACATCCCTGGGTGACAGCTCTCCTCTTGATACGCTTTCCTGGTTGTCAGCACCCTCGCGTGCCATGCGAGCGCTGGCATTGCTGCAGCTGGGTGTGGCAAGCCATCCCCTTGTGGAGAAGCAGAGACCCCTGCCCAAGTGCCTTCAGGGCTGCCCTGTGTGCTGTGGGAGCAGGGAGCAGAGACGTCATGGAAATGCCTGCTTGGGGCCTGAGGACATGGAGAATTCAATAGGCTGCTTTTCAGGCTGGGGAGGGAGGAGACGCTGCGGGGGAGCCAGGGAGAGCAGCAGACAGCTGCCTGCACAGCAGCTCTGGGCCTCCATTGGGCACCTACGACAGACCGGGGGCCCTGTGGCCCCATGCATTGGGGGGGCCGTGGCCTTCCTGCAGCAAAGCTCTCCAGCCCCAGGACCTTGTCTGCCTCTAGGGGCTGCTGTGCTGGCATCTCTGGCAGCTGGAGGGAGCAGGCACTGGCACAGCCGGCTCCATGGCTCTGATGAAGTCCTGACCGGTTGCATCCCAGGCAGTGCGTCCCTAGTGCTCAGACTGGCTGTGCCCCTTGCCTCTTGCAAACCTGGCGGGCAGCTCATTGCACTGACGCCTGAGCTTCCCAGGGCACCATGACAGCCATCCAGGAGGGAGAGGAGGCAGTGAAGGAGGCAGGTGGGGACAGCAGCCCAGAGGCAGGACCAGGCATTCATGCCCACAACTCCATGGGCTACGAGGATTTCGAGGAGTTTGCCTTCAACTTTGAGGATTATGATTTATGGGAAACCATCAGGAACCACCTGGGCTACCCTGATGGGGATCCCATCTGTAAGTACCCAGCCAGGGACCCTGCATGGCGGCCGGGAGGTGCAAGCCCCAAGCCCTGCCCCCAGTTTGCTGCCTGGCACCCTCCTTGCATCTCAGACAAGGTACCCCCGAGGGGAGTGTGCTCTTGGGCACATACATCTGCACTCTGCAGGAGCTGCCTGCTGTCTGTGCATCTCTGTCTGTCTGTGGTATCTGTTCAGCCCCAGCCACGCTGCAGTGAGGTGTTTCTTAGCCGGTGTCTTACCTGAGTCATGCTGGGTGCAGCTGTAGCATGCTGGCTGTTCTCAGCATGTTCTGAGCCATCTCCATCCTCTGGCGCCAGTCCCCAAGTGGCCCTGACTGAAGCCGTGATACTTCACCTCTGTCTCTGGCACAAAGCTGGTGCAGTTTGGAGTTAGCAGGATGCACGGGGCCTGGGGCCAGGACCTCCGGCTGCCAGCACCAACATCTTCCAGGGGCTGGAATATGAGCTGGGGCCTCAGATCAGGCTGCAGCCTTGAGGGTATCAGGTTCTTGGCGTGGGCTAGAGATGGGGAAGGGATAAAGTGATGTATGGGAGCCTCCAGTCTGAGGACATGGGTGTGGATGTGGGCACAAACCCTGCTGTGGGCTGGCTGGCAGGCAGGCTCTGGTGGCACAGAGAGAACAGGATGAGGAGAGAAGGCAAGGAAGGGCAGGTATCAGGTGGTGGGTGTTGCCCAACAGCCTGTCAGGATTGTGGTCCTGTTTCCTGGGGCATCACGCATATGTGCACCAGTGGATGGCCTGGCCTGGCCTGGCCTTGAGCCCATGCTGCTTGCACTCAAAGGAGAGAGGCAGGACGGTCTGGAGAGGACCCCCTGGGTCCTTGGTGAAGGAAGGGCTGGTCTCTCCAGAGGCTCGGGCCCCATCAGTATTGGACAGCACTCAGCTCTGCAGCTCTGCAGGGTCCTGGGCTTGGCAGGGGCTTCTGCAGACCACTGCAGTGCTGCTGCGCACAGGGGCAGATCAAGTGCATGTGTGTTTATGCTGGTCCTGGTGCCATCCAGCACCCTGAGAGACGGAGAGCCTTGGCAGTGTGAGCAGCCAGTGGTTGTGTGGAAAGGGGTCTAACTGGAGGACAGCTCCATCAGGAGTTACTGAGCAGGGCAGTGAGGGCACGGCCTCTGAATCAGAGCCTCCTGGACCTTAACTGTTGGAGGCTGCAAGTGAGAGAAGAACAGGAAAAACCCTGGTCAGACCCAGTTTGCCCTGTCTTTCAGCATCCACTCTGGGCGCCATGGGGCACAGGAGACAGGTTAATGGACCTGTGGTCTAAGGCTGTGCGTGGCAGCTCTGATGCTCCTGTGTGTGCATCCTACCGTGTGATGTGCTCAGTCTAGGTCCATGGCTGAAGCCAGGAGGCTCCTGCCTGGCCCTCCCTCCAGGCACTGAGGCTCCATCTCTCTGTCGGGCACTTGGCAGCCAGACGGCTCTGCCGATGGCCTGATAAGCTGGTGTCATGTCCTCCAGCATTGATACTGGGGCCCTATTTTTAGATGTCGCCATAGTAGCCGCATGCCACTTCCTGCCTGTGCTCTGGTGGTGATGACATGGAAGGGAAGGTGGCTGCAGTGCACATGGCAGGTGGCTGCGGTTCCTCTGCCCGCTCCCACAGAGGTCCCAAAGCAGCATCTTTACCCAGGCCTTGACCCAGCATGAGCAGTGTGGTTTGTACCAGAAGGGCTCAGAAGGTACTGGGGCTTCCTTGACCTTGCAGGCAGGTGCTCAGCCAGGCTCTCCAGGGCCCTGTTGGAGGCTGAGTGACTGCAAGGCAGGCTGCCGAGAGCAGAGAGCAGCCCCTTGGGGCACTTGTAAGGTGCTGGTGTGGGAACGGGGCTCCCCACAGGAAGACTTGCCACGTGACTGCAGGGGAGTCACGCCGTCTGGCTGGGGCTCCATTTGCATCTGCCGAGTGCGGATTGAGAGGCCTTCCCTGCCCCACAGGGAGGATGTTGTGTTGTGCAACACTGAAGCCAGGGGCTGGGACAGGGTCAGAAGTGGGGGAAACATGGAAGCAGAGGCATCATAGGTGTACATCTTGCGCACACTTGCAGGTTTGTAACACGGCTGTGCCTGTGCTGGGACATGCTCACAGGGGCAAACCTGCGTGAAAGGCGCCATGTGCCCAGGTGGTGCCCACAGCCCAGCAGCAGCACATGGGTGTCGATGGGCAGTTATTGGCTTTGCAGCAAGCGGAGGCTGCCAGCTGTTAGCAGGACTCACATTGCCAGTGCAGTCCATGAGGGAAAATCCCTGCCGGCGCCGTATGGATCTGGTTTCTATTTAATGTAGTGACCCATTTTCCTGAGAGCAATGCTGGAGCTGGACCCCCTTCCTCGGGCTGGGCATGTTGCTGAGGTGGGGGAGACGGGTGTCCAGCTGTGGCTACCTCGCTGTGCACTGAAGTCTGGTGCCCCCCTCAACTGCCCCCCATTTCCCCTGCTAAGGGGTGAAGCTCCCTCAGCCACTGAGATGGGCGAGGAGACGCTGGCCCTTTGCTCCACCCCGTGCAGGGCTGACTCAAGAGTCCCCAGGGAAGATGCACTTTGTTCCCTAGTGAGCTTCTGGGGGCCAGGGGGTCTCGGCCACCTCCAGGGACACCAGTGAGATGGGAAGCAGCATCCTCAGCCTGATGGCACCCAGTGATTGGCTGTGGCAGGGCAGCTCCACCACCCCCAGGCCTGGGCAGGGTCAAGGGAGCTCTCAGCAGCACACTGGCATCTGGGCACTGCATTTCTGGTACAGCAAGAGCAGCCAATGCTGTGGTCACCAGGGTTGTGCAGAGCCTTGCCAGCATGGGGGGCACATCCACGTGGGAGCTCAGGCCCTTGCTTGTTGGCCAGTGGCCCTTGTTTGGAGTTTCAGGAGAGCGGGTGTTTGATCTCTCACCAGTTAGGGCAGCTGGAGTGAATGGCAGCTGTCACTCTGCCCCGGGGGGTTCCTCACTAAGCCACTGCAGCTTCCTGCACCGTCACCCAGATTTTTGCAGCCAACAACACTGGCGTGTGCCACCCAAGAAGCCATCCCTGCTGCCTGCACTACACAGGGGTTAGCCAGAGCCCAAGTGCTCTCCCTGCGTGGAGGGCATTGAGGGCATGGCTGGGAACATCCAAATCCCATCTGCAGGGCTTCATCAGACCCATAATGGCATCAAGGCCACAGGCTCAGCCAGTCAGAGCCCATCTCTGGGGCTGTTTGCCTCTTGGTCCCCAGGAGCAGGTTAATGGGGGCATGAAGCACAAAGCACTCCCCTTCTTGGGGTGTCAAGACCCACCTCCCCCAGGCCGACTACCTTCCCACCGTGCTGCTGCGGAGTGAACCATGGAGAGTACAGGGGCCCTGTCGTGGGTGAGGAGGTCAGCAGCTCTTCCCAACAGGGCCATCCCACGTCGGATGCTCTGCAGCATGGATGCTATCTGGGGAGGTGTTGGAGTGTTGCGGGTTCATTTACTCCCTGCAGCTTTCACCAACTGCTGAATGAGTCTTGTACAAACTAACAGGCCCTCGGGCTAGCTGGGGTTGTCACAGGAGGTGGCATCCCAAGATGCAAGGAGCCCCTGGAAGTGCCAGTTGACAGGTTCTGAGAGTTTGTCTCTGGAGTGCAAGTGCTCTGGCCGCACTGCGCCTACCAGCAGCAGTGAGAAGCAGACGGGGTGTTTGGGCATCCCCCACCTGCCACGACATTTCTGCTCACCCAGTATTTTGTCTTTTCTTCCTCCCTGCACACCCAGGCCACCGCTTTGAAGACAACCCTGGTGTCAGGAGGCATCTGGTGAAGAAACCATCTCGGAACCAGATCACTAGGACAAGCAAAAAGATGGTGACAGCTCCATCAGTCAAGAAAAAGAAGAAGAAGAAGAAGCTGGACCGGCAGCCCCATGAGGTACATGCATAAGCAGATCTAGTATTTTGCAAAGGGCTGGGGGTGCAGATGGTGAGGTGCATCGTCACACATAACATGACACGTGTTTCTCCAGTTAAAAAGAAGCTAGAAGCTTTGCTAATGTGAAGGGTCTGGGGCTGTAATATTCAGTATAAGCGCAAAGCAAAAACAAACAGAATTTCACTGACATGGGTTAAAAATGTGGAGAGCTGTGAAACAGGAGCTTCCTTCCCAGAAGCAGCTAGCAGCCAGCGAATGGCAAAAGAAAGGGGAACGTCAAGACAATTAAACAGAAGAGAGGGTCATCAGCACCTGTGGAGTGTGGGGATCAGGTGGATTATAATAAGGAGCCAGGCTGTCAAGTGACTCTTGTGTCTGCTTGACTAGAAATGCTGCTGCCACTGCCAGGAAACTGGGATTAAATTTTGGGTGGAGCAAGAATCAATGGTGGGTGCAAATGCACCATTCCCCCCAGCCCTGGACCTGCTCCTGGGTACATGACTTCCCCTCCCCTTCTCCCCACTCTCCTAGTGTCTGTGGTCATGTACTGGGTTCCAGAAATTGGCGTGGGGGTAGGAAAACACATGAGCTTTGTAAAAGGATGCCTGTGGGGCTTGCTGGCTTTAGAGCTGCCAGTTCGTGAGGGTCACATTTTCAAGCTCTTCTTCACATCTGGGAAAGAACTTTTTTATTTCAGTATTTCTTTGAGATTCTTCCCAAATCATGGCTCCCACTGGGAGAAAAGCCTCAAGCATCACAAGGATCCCGATGCAATCTTGGGAGCTGCCAATGCCATCGTGGCCCTGAGGCAGAAGGGGGGTCTCCCATTTGAGCACTGCTCAGTGGAGATGGTAAAGTCCTTGTGGCACAGACAACCAGAAGTGCTGGGTGGTATCACTTGTGCCCCTCAGGGCACAGTCTGTTCTTGGCTGCCTGGCTTGAAGCAGGTAGGCAGGTGCTGGTCAGAGCTTCTGCCACGTCTGCCTGAGGTCCATTCTTGCTGAGCCCATTCACCCAAGCCTAGGTAGGCAAAGGCATGATCCTGCTCCTTGGCTGGTTGGCACCTTAAAAATAAGCCCAGGGCCTTGCACTTGGCCCCATGCTCTCCTGTGACTTTGTGCAGAGGGGCGGGGACCAGAGCTGCCTAGCTGGTCAGGTCTTTGTGCCTATGCTCTGCTATCCCGCAGGTGTTTGTGGAACTGAACGAGCTGGTGGTGGACAAGAACCAGGAGATGCACTGGAGGGAGACGGCGCGCTGGATCAAGTTTGAGGAGGATGTGGAGGAGGACACAGCACGATGGGGGAAGCCCCATGTGGCCTCCTTGTCCTTCCGCAGCCTGCTGGAGCTCAGGAAGACCATTGCTCATGGTGAGTCCCGGCCCACATGGTCGAGGGAAGCAGCCCAGGCTCTGTGGTGGGACAGGCCCTTGTAGGCAGATACCATCTGTGCTCCTGACCTTGCTGTTATGGACATGTTCAGCAGAGGCTGAGGGAGAGGGTCCTGCTGTTGCCTGACAGAGATGTGATGGGGGGCATTGGTGGCCTCTCCCTTGTGCTAGGCCTGTGCCCTATCAGGCACGTGACAACTGCCCTCAAGCCGTGGCGCCGTGCCTGCCTGGCATGGGAATCCAATTGGCCACGTCCATCACTTGGCTATAATCCAAGGGCCAAGGGCAGTCATCCAGTTACTGCAAGCAAACGCTCTGAAATACCACAGTGAGATATCCATTGCATGTCAGATAGCAGCCTGCCAGGGATGCCAGCCCCTGTACTCGCATAGCGACCCTGCTGTAGTGCTGGACAGATCTGTGCGATATGGCTGAGTCCAGGGATCAGTGACAGCCCACGCAGGATGGCTCCCTCAGCTGCACTCAGCCTGAGCAAGGCATCCCTTTTTGTTGCCCCATATTAATCCTCCAGGGCATCACCTTCTTCCCAGGTTCAGAAAGTGCCCAGAGCTCGACCCCAATGTGCATGCAAGCACTTGTTTGCCCAAGACTTCCTTCCCCCCACCCTTTCTGGATGGCTGTACCCCAGGCCTCTCAGGGCAAAGGCCTGGCATGCCAATCTATTGCTACCGTACCTGTCTGCTCCTGCCTCCCTGCAGCTCCTCCCCGACAAGGTGACGGTGTCTGTGATTGCCCGTCGCTCTGCCTGTCTGTGGGTTCCTGGAATAGCGTGCATGTGCCTGGTGTGACCACATCCTGCCACCTCGTGAGGCAAAGTGCTCCAGCCACTGACAAGGCAGAGGAGGCTGTGGCTTTTCTAGTCTGATGTTTCCCTGAGACACTCATGTTATTTCAGGGCAGGGGACAGCAGCCTGAGCTAGCACTGGTGCAGTGTGGGGCCAGAGCCATCCACGTGCAGCTGAAGGCTCCCGAGTGGGACACATTCTGCACACATGTCCCTGGACCCTGTCCCTGGGGCAGTGTCTGTCTTGGTCCTCGCCACTGCTGCTGTGAGCCCTCTGCCCTCCAGCCCCTCTCCCCCACACCCCCGGTTGCTGACAGGAGTCGTTAAGTAGCTGACCTGCTCTGAACTTGCCCGAGTTTCTAAGCACATGGCAACCCACGTGAATCTATGAATCCATGAATCTATACCCCTATGAATCTATAAACCCCCTGGGTCTGTGAGCACGTGGACAGGGGCTAAATATGACGGGCAGAGTTGGGGCTGGCTCTTGTGCCCCCCGGGGTCTGTGCAGAGGGCAGTGCTGCTGCTGTGTGTGGGCTGATGTGTTTTCTGAGCTGTATTTTTACTGGGGGGCCCAGATCCCAGGTGGTCCAGGGCAGCGAGTCTGCCTGAGTCCTGCTGGGGAAGGGTGGTGGGACAGTAAGGCAGGGCATGAGATAGAGGGAGAGAGAGTAGCCCTAGATGGAGGAGATCTAGGGTTTGAGCTGAGCCAGGGTCTGCCTTGCCTGCGGAGGAGGTCTGAGCTGAGCTTTGATGTCTCCTGATTTCTGTGTTGCGTGGGGAGAGGGAATGACTTTGAGCTTGTCCCAACATGTGCAGGCGGCCGAGGCACCCATGTGTCCAGGGAGGAGCCTTTGCCTCATTGCATCCCAGAGCTCTGGGCAGTGCAAGGGCCCCATAGGCCCCGCACCTGCTGCAGTCCCACAGGGGCTCGTGGGTCCCTCTGGGGGAGCCCAAATCAGGAGTTCCAGGCAAGCAGAGATCTCGTGGCAGAGGCACAGAGACTGACTGTCTCTGCTGGGATGGGGTTGGGCCTCTGCTGCAGACAAAGCCTGGGGCCACACCATGGAAAGACACTAACTAGACATGTGACCCCTACACTTCAGTCCCTATGCTGGGGCTGTCTGCAACTCCATGCACGGGAGCACCAGCCCCGGAGGAATCCCCTGCTCCTCGACACACGGAGCAGAACTGGACTGGAGCGCAGGGCTTGTCCCCCAAGCCAGAAGCTTTGCTCCAGGCGCAGCCTCCCATAAAGCACCAACCCCTTGGCCTCTCCCTGCCCTCTCAGCCGCAAAACCCAAGAAGCTGCAGGGCCACTCGTGCTCCAGCTCAGCTGCTCAGAGCTCCGCAGGAGAACCCCCTGCCCCAGAAGCGAACCGAGCTCTCCCTGCTCACCTGGCACTGGAGGTGCCAGTGTGACTGTGAACAGCACTGGCAAGAACCAACTCAGCAGCAGCCCAGAGGGGCTGTGGTGCCTGAGATCTCGTGTCCCCAGAGCTGAGCTGCAGTGGAGTCTCCCCCATGCTAACAGTCTCTGGGACTGTTAGCAGAGGGAACGCAAGGCACGAGACCTGGTCCAAGCCCAAGGAAGACAGCTGCAGTCAGTGGGCCAGAGGATAAGCCACAGGACCTGAGGGGATCTCAGGGCTGTCCTGAAGTGAGGAGGCCCTGGGTCTGCATGATGGAGAAAGATGCAAGCGGCCTAGCTACAGCGCCAGCACTGTGGAGCGAGGCCTGGTGGGAGTCGTCATGGGGCAGCTCAGGGCAGCTATCCCACGTGGCTGGTGCAGAGACCCGAGGGGTCTAGACCTGGGACAAGCTGGCAGCTGGAGGGATAGGACCAGCATGTGGATGAGTCGCAGTATGGTGTCCATGGCCTGTCAGGGTGTGGGGCATGTGTGAGGGGAGTGTGAAGGGCAACAGGAGTGCATGTGGGCTGAGGGGTGCCCACAGACATGAAATGTAGGCCAAATGCTGCAAGTGTGCACGGCCTGAGACCAAAGGGGTGCAAGACGGTGGCAGGCACCTTTGTGCCTGTGCCCTGCTGGGGCTCCAGCCCGGTGACATCCTGTGGCACCGTGGTCTGTGCAGAGCTAAGCAAGCCACTTTCCCTGCTGCTTGCAGGCGCCATCCTCCTGGACCTGGAGCAGACGACGCTCCCGGGCATCGCACACCTGGTGGTGGAGACCATGATCATCTCAGACCAGATCAAAGCTGAGGACAGGGCCAACGTGCTGCGGGCCCTGCTGCTGAAGCACAGGTGGGCATGGGCTGCAGGTGAAGCAGAGCAGGGGCAGTGGCAGGCATACTGGAGGGGATGGGGGCACATGGGACAGGAGCGGAAAGCAGGGAGAGAGGCTGGTCTCTAGGGTCACATTGGGAGTGGATCTAGTAGGGGCAGGTTCCCTGCCTGTATCTGGAGTAGGGCCTGGTCCCACAGAGCAGGCAATGGAGGGTGTGTGCTGGAGGGCGCTGGTGCCTCCTGGGCAGTGTGGGGAGGGGCTGGGGCAGGGAGACCAGGGCCCTGAAGGAGGGAAGGGTGGTGTGGGGGGCTCTCAGCCTGGCAAGAGGGAGGGGAATCATTGCCAGGTGGCAAGGAAGGAAGCTGCGGCAGGCCCCAGTGAAGGAGGGGACAGCTGGGGAGGGCCATGACCTGGCGGGGAGCAGGGCAGCTGGGCTGGGGAGGTGGGGCAGCAGGACAGTGAGGGCACTGCGGCAGGAGCTCCTGTGTGGCTGCTTGGGGCGGATGCTGGGATGGGGATGGGGCAAGGCTAGGGGGAAGCCCTGCGGGGAAGAGTCCCTGAGGGAGCATGGGCAGGTAGAGCTAGCCATGCTGACAGCAGGGAGGGGAGGGTGCAGGGCTGGGGACAGTCGCAGCATCCCTGACTTCCTGCCCAGGGCTGCACGGCTTGGGTACCCACCCAGACACAGGAGCCGCTCTCCTGACCCATAGGGGTTTGGCACCCTGCTCCCTCAGAGCCTGGCCACCGGGGAGGGTGGTAGCTGCAGTCCTGCCATCGCCACTGGCTTTGGGGGCCGAGGGCAGGGCTGCTCCCGCCCACGGCTCTGACCGGCGCCGTCCTCCCAGCCACCCCAACGATGAGAAGGAGGGCTTCTTCCCCCGGAACCACTCCAGCTCCAGCATGAACTCAATCGTGGGCAACCACCACCACAACCACAACCACATGACCGACACCTGCATGCCTCTGATGGGCGAGGAGCGTATTGAGATGGCTGACCCCAAGCCCCATGACACTGAGTGCAAGGAGGTGAGGGCGGTACAGGGCGGGACTGACTGGTGCAAGGGGTCTCTGCCCTTCCCAGGGCACCAGGGCAGCTGCCTGAGACAAAGCCAAGTGCAAGGTGCACCCAACTTCCCTGGGGGTTCTAGCGTTGCAGGCCAGGGGCTGAGAGCACTCAGTTCCAAGACCTGTGACTGGGCATGCCGGTCAGGGACCCAGTCCTCAGCAGGGCTGCAGGGTGGTCGGTTGCTTGCTCAGGCACTTGAATGTAGATGCAGGAGACAAACTGCAGGCCCTGTCTTTACCGTTGCACAGGGCAGGAGTAAGGGGGCCGTGCCAGCTGCCAAGGCAGGACCCATCCCCATG